GGTTATGGCAAAGCCTTAGATACACATGTCTAGCAAGTCCTCAAATGACGCTAATGCCACACTTTGAGAACAATTGTCTTATAGTTACTACCTCCTTCCCCTCCTCCTTTTCCTCCTTTAATCTTCTCTCCCACTCTGATATTCTCCTACTTCTTTGTCTACAAAATCAATCTTCCAGTGTTTTTATTCCTTTGCCTTCCCTTCCCCTCCCCTCATCTCCCTCCCTTCTAAGGTGGTATCTGAGGCTTCAGATGGAACATATTTAGAAGGACTTGTTTAGAGTATTTATTCACATAACAGTATTTACTGAGCAACTACAAAGATTCATTTATTCATCCATTCAACAAATATTTGCCAAAACTCTACTTTTATTTCAAGCTTTGTGCAAGAAGAACAAGACAAAAAACCACTCTACCCTAAGAGAATTCCGCATATGCCCTGGGAAGGAAGATAGTGCACAAACATATAAATAATTAGATTATTAGCAAGTGTCATTAATGTTCTGAATGAAACAAATGGGTTTCTGAGGTGAAAAACAATAAGGTTTTCCTTGTGCGGTCAGAAAGGGCCTGGCCCCTTTAGGGGTATGTTTAGGCTTAGACCTGAAGTTGGAGAGGAAGATAGCCAAGCAGAGCACCCCGGGAAAGGTGGTCTAAGAAGATGGAATAGCCACTCTGTAATTTTTCAGGGGACAACCTCTTCCCAGCAGGCCCTGGGGCATGGGGGTGTCTCCAGAACCTGAACCAGAGCCTGGCACACAGCTGGTGTTCAGTCAGTATTTGCTGAATGAATAAGTGAATTATCAGAACCAGGCCACTGAAATGTAGGAAGCAAGCAGAAGAGAGGCGAGAGATGGACAGAGTCCAGGTCATAAAGGAGCTTTTAGGTCATGGGTGAGGTGTCTGAATTAACCAATCAACTTTGCCAGTCCACTCTGCCCTCCTCTTCCCCATGCCTAGCTCAAACCCTGCTTTGAAGCAGCGGTTCTTAACGTGTGACCCCTAGACCCCTGATGATGAGTCATATCATTTGACATCTAAGTTCTTTAATGTGACAAGAGCCATGCTTTCACCCATCAACTCGTTGTTAATGAATATGTAAATTACAACAATGGCTCACTAACTGCTATGACAATTGATTTAAAAGGCAGCTGTTTGTCCACTCAGGGCTAATCAAAAGCAGCCCCACCCTTCCCATGCAGTCTGGGAAAGGCTGCCTCGCGGCAAGGGAAGAGGTTGTCCCCTGAAAAATTACAGAGTGGCTGATTCCAAATTCCTGGAATGCAGCAACTTCTAAAGCAAATGCAGTGTCATTACACAGGATAAATAGGTTCAAAAGAAGTTGAGGAATTCCAAACAAAGATGAGAACAAAGAAAAAATGAATCAATTTATTTACACTTTGTACAGTAGTTTCAAATAAACTTGTAAAAAAAGATGGTATCTGGCAGCTTTTCCCAGTCCTGTATTGCCTTGAATCCACTATAATTCTCACTAATTTTTAATAATAGTATAAGTGCTTTTAAAAGTAAAAAAGGTAACAATAAAATCCTGAATTTAAACTTTCCCTCATTGTTTCATATGTTAATTCTTATGGGTTATTTAGGACCCGCTACCTCTTGGGGCACTCTGTGTGAGCCTTAAGATTCTTCCCCCAAGCCCCCCAGAAAGAACTGGCAGTTACATGCCTTTGGAAAAGGAATACCTTTGATTCCTGGTCCTTTCCTTCATGTGTTGCTATGAACCTTCATATAATTGATACAAAAATAGATAAAGGATAACACATGATTTTAAATGTATATGTGTCTCTTTCATAGATCAAAAATAAAATAATTGTATATAAAGAAGTCATTTCTTCTTTTCCAAATTCCCATTTCCAAGGCATTATTAGCAGCTCACTGTTAGTGGCACAGAACTTGGAAGCATCTAAATAAACCATGTTGTGAGGATTCTTTGTCGTTTCTTACTTGATTAGTCTTCTTCAAATGTTGCCTTTTTGGTGCATTTGCCTGCACAAAAGGTAGGATTATAAGAAAAGATTGGTACATAGTATATCAGAAATAAAAATAATTTAAGAATTAACTTACAAGGTACAATAGGTTGCTAGCATGTGCAATAGTATTTTTTTAAAGATGCTTGCAAAAACTTGGAGACTAGAGGATCCATTGAAGATTTTCTTAAAGAACAGAAGAGTATTTGATATATTTGGGTAAGAAGATTCCAAACCTGAGGAGCAATTTATGAGAAAATTTTATAAATCTCAATGAAAAAGACAAAGAGAAAGACAGGCAGAAATTAGGAGAGTGTGACCTATGTGAAGGGTAAATTTGCAAAAGAGCAAAAAAGGTGAACTGGGTGTGATCTATAATTAGCCAAATGTGCCACTCATACAGCACATTAAAGTGTGCAAAGGTGCTTTAACATACATGGTCTTACTAATTTTCATAATAGCTCTCTAAAGTATTTACGGTAGGCATTATTCCAGTTTTACAGACAAGTAAACCAGATTGTCTTCTAAATAGAGGAAGGAAGAAAGGAGAGAAAGGAGGAAGGAAGGAAGGAAAAAAGGAAGGAAGGGAGGGAGGGGAGGAGGGAGGGGTGATGCTGAAAATAAAACAAAAAAAAAAGACCCCTGTAGAGGCCAAACACAGCCTGTGGGCTTGCAGTATCTGAGGGGGAGGGGAGGGGGCCGTTTCTGATGGTGCAGAAAGGCATGCCAGACTGTGAAAGCCACTGAACTTGTGAGGGGGCAAAATACGGAGGCGGGCAAATGCTCTTTTCTAAGACAAGTGACCTGAATAGTGAAGTAGGAAAGAATCGGTTCTCCCAAAAATACACGCACGTTTTAAGTTTGACCTTGGAGTGTTTGCTAACTTGAAAAGGAGACCTCTGCTCTAGCTGCGAGGAAAGCCCCTAGAATCCCTGAAGGAGTGAAAATGTCATTTTTTTCATGAAGAGATAAAAACCACACATTTCCTAAATGAATTAAAATAATTTTTACTTTTTCCCCTTTTTCTGCGTTTTCTTAAAGTATATAATAGTCAATACGGTGGTCAAAATATAGCTTTATGTATATAAAATCTATTTTTAAAAAGGGAATATGTCATCTTTTACATTGATTTAGCTTGAGAATATCTGATTGGAAAATTAAAATGCAGAGTCTCATCTTTTTTGGTGGTTTTCAGGGATGGCACCCCCCAAAAAGTAATCAAACATCATAAAAGTTATTGCAATATTATGCTACTATTGCCTATTAATTGTACAATTAAACGCTTTTGCTCTTTGGTGACTGGGAACTGTTTTAAAATCCATTTCAGATGCATGATCATTCAGATACTCAGATGGCTGCTTAAAAAGCATAAAGGTAGTCCTGGAAACTGAGTAAATTCCCTTTTTTTTTTTTTTTTTTTTTTTTGGTAATATGTGGGGAAGCTGAGCCATCAATAGTATCTTCCATAAGCGAGAGTTTATATTTCTTTCTTATGTTCCTTGGACAATTATGGATGGAATGGCTTTAACTGGATGGCCAGTGGTGAAATTTCTATGCCTGTGGGTTGGACAATTGACGGCGGTAGTATTTGTTCTTGATTAGCACCAGTTGCATGAGATTTAAGGGAGGACACAGACCTCTACTCCAGAGAAAGGGGAAAGTGAATGGCAGAAAAAATAAATAAATAAAGGTCAAGTTGACAATTGACAAGATCCTTTGGGGGTCTTTTACTCTTGCTGGTGTCTGGAGGATGCGCATTGGGACAAATGAATGCTTTGAGGTGAGAAGGGCAAAAGCACTCTAATAAAAGACTTCAGGAAAGAGTGCAAACGACCTAGGGAAATCTGCTGTGGTTATGTTTAATCCTGGGAAAAGAGGCCCTGGAGAAAGCAGATGAGGAAGATAGGAAGGAAGACAGGGAGGGGGAGGCACTGGGTGTGGTGGGAGGAAAGGACAGGGGTCGGGAGCTGGAAAGTGAGAGGGGGTTAAGTACTGATCGTGGCTAAGGCGACCGGGTTGAGGAGCACAGAGTGGGAAAAAGTGAAAGTCAAGGGGAGGGGAAGAAGGAGGAGGAAGCAGAGCTCCTTGGACCCAGACGGGACCCCTAGCCTGGGAGAAGGCGGCGCGGGGCAGCGGGGGCAGCTTGGCCCGCCTTGGGCCCCCTTGGCAGCTTCAGGCGTTGGCTCCTCTGGGCTCCCTCCCTTGCCGGCGCATTGTTCCTTTGCCGGGAGACGAGGAAATTGCCTTTTGATTGCGGAAGTCCGCGGACGGGGCGCGGGGCGAGGCAGAGCGGGTCAGAATGGCAGCGTGGGAAGGGCGGCGCGCTGCCTGTCCCCGTCGGCTCTCGCGTCCGCAGCCCTCTCGGGGCGGCAGCAGCAGCAGCAGCAGCGGAGGCCCTTGCGCGTCGCCAGCCCAGAGGCAAGCGCACTGCGCCAGCGGGGCACGCTGAGCGCGCGCAACAAGTGGTCCCCAGGCGGCCGTCGGGGCCACCGGGTGTCCCAGCCCCTCAGTGGAGGCTGGGTGGGAAGCGCTGACCGCGATGCTGAGCCATGGAGCCGAGCTGGCCTTGTGGACCGCACTGAGCCTGCTGCAGGTGAGCGGACAGAGGGGAGGTCGCGGGGGCGACGCGTCGCATTCCCACCGACAACCAAATTCCCACTCCACTTTCTGGCCTCCTGGGTTGTGGTTTGCAGAGGGAGTTGGCCGAATTTTTTCCTCCCCTTGGGAAGAAAGATTCTCTTCTGAGCTCCCAGCCAGACTGTCAAAAGCAAAAAGAAAAAAGAAAAAAAAAAAAAAAGCCACCTTCTTCCTCCTGCTGCTCCGGGGAAAGAGCAGCTGCGGAGAAAGTTGCCACCCATCTCCTCCACGGGCCCTTTCTCTGCTGGTTGGGCAAAAGGATGGGCTGAGGCTGGGGGCGAAGGTTGGGTGGGGGCGTCTCGGGGAGCTTGCTGTGGAACTGTCCCTGGGCAGTCCAGACTGTGGGCTTCAGCTCTTGTCTCTGGTTCATTTGCAGACTGGACTAGGGGAGCCAGTGAGGTGTAACTTCACAGTGACAGATTCCAGGATCTCCAGCCGGTCTGCATCCATCCAGTGGAGAACTCTGGGGCCTCCCTGTAACTTCAGCCTCTTCTATAGCAGTGACACATCAGGGATCATGCAATGCCATCCCATGAGGATAGACAACACCACCTATGAATGTAACCTCAAGGATTTACAAGCGGGAACCACCTATAGCTTCAGGATTGTGCCTCAGGATGGAGAAGAGAAAGCTGTTGTGTTGCAAACAGGTAAATGGGTGTCAGGTGCTGCTGGAAGGCGAGGCCACTCTGGCCGAGCACTACCTTGTCAAGCTGGTGATGCATTTGAGTTCCAGGCATACAAAAGTAATGGTAAAAATACCTGTGAAGATAAATATCCTTAGATCTGGCCAGAAGCAGCTTGGTTAACTTTCAGAAATTTCCTTAGTGCTGAAAACAGCGGACTAGTCGCTTCAAGAGGGAATGCAGCAAAGAGACACTGTGGGCTGTGGAGGGAATTTGTTAAAATGATGTGGCTTGAGCTTCCATCACATTAAATTGTCAAGCCCTAGAATAATTTTAAGTAAATGTTTTTAGAATAAATAATTGAAGTGCAGTGATTAGGGATATGCCTCTCTTCAACTTAGTTTTATTTTTGGAACCAGAATATAAAATCTTTAGGAGTAGAATAGACCCATTCATAGGAGAAAATTAGAAAAATCTCTTGAAATGACGGGACAAAAATTATTTTGTATTATGTAACTAAAACAGCATAGTATCAGAAAAGGTCCTTTGTTACTTTGCACCTCAAGTCAGGTGTTTTTTTTTTTTCTTTAGACTTTTGGTAAACCCTTCCATGCATATATGTCTGCTAGTTTGTCTTTCCTGCCTCCGTTTTCTTATCTGTAAAATGAGAGTGTAGACTTGGTCACTTAGGTCCAAGTTCTTACCAAGTGCTAACCACTGAGGTAGGGACTCTCTTGCCCGTTACCTCATTAATCCCCCAGATGTGCTCTAAACTCTCTAATGACGTTGATGTTTTATGACTTCATTAGTCTTCCTTTTAACATTTTCTTTATTTGTAGCAATAGTGACACCTTACTTTCATAAAGTCAAATTTAACTGAAAAAATTCCAGAAGTTAAATTTAGAAGTGTTTTGTCTTTACCATTCTTTCACAGGCAGCCTTAACAAAGATCACTTCTCAGCAACAGTTCTTTAAAGAGGTGTGAGAACTTTCCATTCTCAGGGTCAGGAAATGGAACTGGGTTCATGTAATAAGTCAATCAAATATTAATTCTCTTATTTTTTTCAAAGAAAAAATTAAGAATGCCCAGTTACATCACCTGACTTACTTCAAATGAAATTGTTGATAATTTCTGAGATTTACAAGAACAAATTGAAAAGAGACACCAGTTATTAAACATTTAGTTGTGTTTTTATATGGAATCAAAGAGAGACTGAAATCAACCATGTAATTAGAACGGTTTCCATAAGTTTAAATAGCTGGATTTTTAGTCATAGAATTGTTGGTTTCTTGGTGTGTGAGCATAGTTTTATGAACACTCAGTTTGCTAATACTGTGAAACTTATGACATAGAACTTCTAGATATGTTCATCACATTTGATTAGGTGTACATGCTGAATGGAACAGATGATTTTTAAAAACAAGTGAGCCTTCAGAAGTTTATGGGGGAAAGGATGAAGACATTCATAAGCCAGAAAATAGTCATTTAACGTAGATTTTTTACTTTTGAGGGGAAAAAAAGTTGATGGGAAAGAAAGGACTTGGTGTGGGTGTTACTAGTTAGAATGCCCTTTGAGTTCAATTATGTATGTAGGTGTTTTAAGTACAGAGATATATGTGAAATGTAAGAAATATTTGCATTTTAATTATCATGTCGAATTCAATAAAAAAAGACTTTATCAGCATTCACAATATTGGTATTCAGGTTCTCATCATTTTTCTTAAGCAGTTACTTTTACAGTACACAAATATACTTTACACAACAGATTTTATGAGCTCCACTATAAATGTGAAGAATGAAACTTGCAGGTGATGTTTGTACAATGGTAATTTTTTCACACTTATCTTTATGATGGCATAATCCTTCTTAGGATTCTCTACTCTTTAAAAATAATTTTATGCAAACTAAGATTTTCTAAAAATGTTTCAGGGAGGACTTTTTTAGTTGGTTGTTTATTTTTTGTCATTAGTGCCCTCTATATTTAAGGAAATGAGTGAATTTTTCATTTATTTAAGAGAAAGGACCAGTATTCCTCTATGTTAATTGCTGAGCTATAGAGGGGAGACCCATGAACTACATTTTAGTGTATTAAAACATGACCAACTTGTAGTATAATATTAACTCTGAGATATAACTTCAAACAGAAAAGTCATTCAAAGCGTGTTGTGCTTTCCTTTTGCCAAGTTGCCTGTCTTGTTGGTCTAGAATAAAAGAGAGTGAGGACAAGACATGATTTGGCTAGAGATACAATGGTTGCTTAGATTATTTCTGTATCATTTCAAGCGTGAGTTGTCTGATTCTTGTCCCTGATAAATTTTGTAAAATAACTAGTTTTTTAGGTGTCATGTAGACATGACCTTAAAGATCCAAAATTCTACATAAAGGAGAGCTGTCGCAGCAAAAATCAATTTTCACTTCAACTCTTAAATCAGAATCCAAAAACATATGCGTATTAAAATTCAGTTAAGCAAACGTTTATTAAGCTTGGTTCCTGCAGTGAAGTACACCAGGTAGTGAGAGGTGGGCTTTTCAAGATGACAGTCAGTACAGTCCTGTGCAGCAGTGAGAGAAGGTCATGGTGAAGGTGGTGGCAGACCTTTGCCACGTCTGTCCTGGAGGAAGACCTTGCCTGCCTGCTGCAAGCCGTGCCTTCACAGCCCTGGAGGAGACACTGGGCAGTGCTTGGGTTCTTTTCACCACTAAGCTGTCTATGTAACAACCATAATAAATTGAAAGCCAAATTATTTAGTTGTGACCAAAAATAATTGAAAGCTAAATCGCTTAGTTGTGATTTCATCAGAAGTCAGATATGAAGGTAACAGATATTAAAGAACTCAGCATTTTTGCAACACTGTGTCCTCAGTTTAGAGCAGAAGCTGAAAGCGGGTAGCCCCTGGGGGTGTCTAAGTGTCTAAATAATAGACATGTTTTATTTGGCTCATGTAGTGTTTATGAAGAATTCAAATTGTTTCACCAGCATTAAAAACTGGAAAATTCATATAAAAATAAGATGTATGGATTCTCTTAAAATACTGGAAGATTTGGCAAAACTGGGCCACCCCTATTCTTACAACTGTCTAGAGCTGACTTGTGGTTTCTCTCCTTTTAGATACCAGTTCATTTGACCATTTCATATTGCCTTGCCTGAATGCATCCCAAGGACATTTGAGTTTGTTTAAATGAAACTTTCTAATTTTCATGTAGAACTTTTGGGGAGCTTTTATCTTCCCAACAATAACAAGTAGTTTTTTAGTAACCTAAAATAGCATCTAGCACATGGTACATGTTAAATTAATATTGATTAAATGGGTAGATAGATGAATGAATTAATGGATGAGTGGCTGGTTTTATGCATGAATATACAGATAGGTAGATAAACAAGGAAATATTAATGAAAGAAAGGAATATTTTATTGGGAAAATATGGTCTGTTCTTCCTGGGTTAAGAGTAAGTTATGGAGCCCAGGGAAGTAGTCTGGTGGTGGGGAGGGAACTTCATTTATAGGAAGAATTATCTGAGTGGCATATGCCCTCTTGTTAGTTTCACCTACTTATTAGTGAACAAAAAAAAAATCAGCACTTTTAATGTGGTTAATTCCTTTGTCTTTAAAAAAATATTTCAGAAGCTCTAATTACCAAGGCAGCATATTAGCTGTTATTTCCATTTCAAAATGTTGCTTAGTGTACTAGTTTACTAGGGCTCCCATAGCAAAATACCACAGATTGAGTAGCTTGAACAACAGAAATTTATTTTCTTATAATTCTGGAGGTTAACAGCTCTAGATCAGGTATCAGCACGTTTCTTCTGAGGCTTCTCTGATTGGCTTGCAGGTAACCACCTCCTCAGAGGGACATGTGGTGTCCCTCTGTCTGTATTGTCTGTGCCCCAATCTCCTCTTCGTATTAGAACACCAGTCATATTGGATTGGGCTCATCCAATGAACCCATTTTAACTTTATTACCTCTTTAAAGACCTTATCTCCAAATACCGTAACATTCTGAAGTATTGGGGGTTAAAGCTTCAACACATGAATTTTAGAGGGACACAATTCATCTCATAACACTTAAGTAGATTTAAATATATGGCATTATTTCTCAGTAATATCTGTAAGCTATTTGCATCAAAATCTCTTGCAGAGCTTGTTATAAAGGCATATTGGCTTCTACCCAACAATTAATGAATTTAGAAAGAATGGAGCCTAGGGTATCTGATTTTAAACAAATATCAAAGTGAATCAGTGCACACTGAAGTTCAAGAGCTATTGATGTAGTTTTTCTGTTTTTCATTGGCATTAAAATTTTGATATCATTCCTTTTTACAGTCAAGTCAATATAAGTAAAATGAACATTATACTGACTACATATTGTTTAACTTTATCCTCATGGAAGTCTTGTGGAGGGAGTATTATGAAGGCACAGGTTGCATAGTGGTTAAGAGTTGAATTCTGAAAGCTGTTGCCTCCATCACTTACTATCCAAGTTGCCTAGGACAAGTTTTTGACCTCTCCAAGCCTGTTTCTTAATTTATGAAAGGGGGACAATAATAAAAATATTGCCTTCTTCATAGGATCTTTTGAAGTTTTAAATGGTTCATATATAAATTCTAGAATAGTTTTTATCATATACTAAATGTGTCATAAATTTACTATTATTAACTTTCAGGTTGGAAATGAGATTGATACTCACAAGAATTAACATCACAAATCCACACAGCTAACATAGGATAGGCATAAAACTTGAACCCTGATTTACTGCAATCCTTTTTACTATGTAGAAAGGACATAATTTTAAAGCTGGTATTAGTTTTTTCAAATTACTGTATGATGCTTTGGTATTTTCAAGCAACTTTTTAAGGAGGAAAAATATATTACAAAAAAATCTGTGTGTATGTGTGTAGCCTACACAGGGTGGAATAATGATTAAATATGTTACAGTGTGAAGAAATGATAAATTATAAGCAGCTACTGACTTTCAGCTGCTTTGAAATCTTGGTGAGTGGACTTCAGTATTTAGCAATCAGCCAT